AAACATATCCCGAATTTTAGCTTTAGATTTTAGAATGGAATTAATAGATGCACTCTATCCGATTCTTGAAAAAGTTGGCGAAACAAATGCTCGTTTACATGAAACCGCTGATATTGCTTTATCTCATATCTCCATATATTGTGGGTACTCTTCTAAGAAAGCATTGGTATTGGAAAATGTTGACTACCTTGTCAACACTATATCCAGGAAATTGAACCAAATTATGATAAATTCAAAAACTCCACAAGTACTTACAGCGATGGTTCGAGTAGTCGGTATTTCTTTACTACCTTATTTAGATGACTCAATAGAGGAAATTTTTGATGCCTTGGATGCTTATCATATGAATCCAAACTTATTAGATCCACTAGCAAATGCCCTATTTGCTATAGTTTCTACTATATCTGATTCTTTTGAAACAAAAGAAAAAGACACAAATCCTCTTAACATAGATAAAACTCTAGATTACGTGGAATCGGATACACCGGACTTATCCAAAGAGATCGCAGATTTTGTAAAGACTTATTCTGTAGGAAAAACTCAAACATCTGTTCCAAAAGAGCAAGCAACTCTAGAAGAAATTGGTCAATATTTTTTGAATCGTCAAAAATCAAAAGAAAAATCCGAGGTTGAAAATGGTGATAATTCTGATTCTATTTCTCATAATAACGAAAATATCAGTGATGAAAGACCTAAGCCTACACAACCACAGGCCATTTGTATAAAAATTATAGACAAATTACTCAATTTTATTACTGCAGCATCACCTCAATTACGAGTCCTAGTCCTTGATGTTATACGTATAGCACTTCCCACGTTGCGATCCATTCCTTATGAACTTTACCCTCTAATCCATAGAATTTGGCCTTCCGTCTTGAACAGATTAAAAGATAAAGAACCATTTGTTGTTCTCGGTGCTGCACGACTTATACAAGAAGTTGCTATCTCTTGCGGCGAATTTTTCACCAGTCGTGTTGTTCAGGATGTTTGGCCATCATTTCAAAGATTGCTTTCTCAACAATCTATGGTAGATAAAGAATTTGTGGGTCTTATTGAATATAGTTTTTCCAAATCACATCGGTTGAAAAAGACGATATTAGTGACTATAAAGGTGGTAATCAACCGTGTATCGTTATCTAATCAAATAACATCACAAATAATTGATACATTATGGCCATTTTTAAGCGAAGAAATTAATGAAGAGCTTCAAGTTTCTGCAAGAGAATTGTTTCGAGAATTTGCACGTATAAATGCGAACACAACTTGGTTAGTGCTTAGAGGATTAGTGGAGGAATACACATTTATGACATCACCTAATGATGCAAGCCTGCTGGATGATATTGTTTGGCCAAAATATTTATGTAGATTTCCTATTGGTAATAAAAAGAAATTGTTTGCACGAAATGTAAAAATGTTGTTGGATGAACTTTGAACGGAAATTGTATATTAACATATAAATGTTAGCTTTTTTCAAATTTGGATGTATTTAATTAAGGATTTGTAGAAAATTTGTACACATAACGGTAATTTCCGCGATCTTAGTATAGTGTTCATATTTTCCCTAAAATCAGGATGCATTCGTAATGATTCCATATGTTGTTTACAAGGTATTGAAACTTGCTCATAATCATCATTTAAATAAAAAACGAATGTTTCGATTAATATATGTCCACAATTATCCAGAGATTTAGTACACTCAAAAAGTAGTTTATAAGATAAATTCACGAAAGCCAAACGAATTTGCCATGAAGGATGATTACGTATAGTGAATATATGACCTATCAATATTTTGATCTGTGATTTGGTAGCCTTGTGCCATGATTTTGTTCTTTCAACATAACCATTTTGTACCTCTGATGATGATGCTGATACAGGGCTCGTTTTTGCTACTGAAAGCTGGTTTGCACTTCCCTTATTAACTAACACGTCTTTTAACTCACTCAGAGCCGTTGTCCTAGAAATAAAAGGTTCACTGACAACATCGTTCATTACAAAATAGATTGCACACGTCAAAACTTCCACTGTTTTTGTCAATAATAGATGATTTTCTTTTTGATCTTTGACCAAAGTTTTGCTCAATGTGCTTAATACACCAGGTAGGAAGGAAGCCACGATTCCTGGCTCTTTGATACGAGTGATCAAACGTTCCAAAGTTTTAAGTGCTATTATTCTCAGTTGTAATAAGCGTTCAGTTGTGATGATTTCAAGTAATACATATACACAACGCCCAATAACAATTCTCAGTTGAACACCTCTAAGTTCTGTTAAGAGTAATTCACAGTGTGTCGACATATTAAAACGATCATTTTCATTTTCATCTGTATTTTTGACATTTAAATGTAATAAAGCAAAAATACATTTGACACCGGCAAGTTTTGTTTCTTCTGAAAGAGAAGAACTGTTACTAGAAAGAGTTTTATTTTTTTCTACTATCTGATCGTCTTCAGTTGCTTTTTTTGATCCAGGATGAAATGATCTACCAACGATGCTTACAAGCAAAATCAGAAGTTGCCTGAATTGGCCAGGCATCATATAATTATTCCAACTAGAAGTCAACAAAACTTCAATACAATTTAGAAATCCTTCAATAAATCCATCACTCTGTTGTAGAACAGCATTATTATACAGTTTTGACAAAGGAAAAAAAATGTATTGGATCAAATCAAAATCAAGGACCCTAGACGCCTCAGGTATAGCCTCAAGAGTTTTATGTAATTTTTTGACGGTTTGGATGATTTCATGGCTTTTTTCTTCCGGAGAGGTTACGGCTTTCATAAGAAAGACGCATAAAGGTCTTAACTAACTAAGACGGATTACCCGGTAAAGGTTACATTTCTGTTATTCGTTTTTATTTTAGCGAGCTTTTCTTTTCGAAATGAAAAGTAGACTTTAAAGAATTCCTAACCTGTAAAAACAATGCTTCGCGCTGTGTGTCGAGACCATCCTCCATAGTGCTGAAAGTTGCCATTTACTGATTCATTGTCGTGTCTAAACATACGTACCGATTCTCATTTTATTCATTCATTTTGATTGGTTGTCGGAAGACGGAAATTTGTTTTTATTGGCTGATTATCAGTAATCCTGATTGGCTAAAATTAAAGTGTGTTTTCGTGTATATCTATTTACTCAGCAAGGGGTGCATTTACTAAGTTTCTATTGGTCGACGCTTCTGATTGGATAAAATCGATGATCCTCAATAACGTGATATTACTGCCATACCGTACTACTGATTTTGAAATACAATATTTACACAAAATTGGCAGATCGAAATGCTCAAGTTTTTTTTTTATGCTGTTTTGAACTTACACCGGTCGCATCTTAGTAATTATAATTTTGGCGTTACAGTTGAATCTAAATAACCAGCAACAACTTTTTACCTT